CGCGCGCCGCGCACCCAGGGTGGGCGAAAGGGCCCCGCGTTATTCTTGCAATCGCTGCGCGGTGACGATCTGGACCGGGATGCTATCGAGAAGGAGTTCACGCGCGCGGGGAGGCGCGCGCTGCTCACGTCAGTCAAGTACAAGAACCATTCTGCTCTGGCGCAGAGGAGTCGAGATGACGGCCGTCGCGCGCGTGACCGGTGCCTGGAAGGCAAGAAGAGCGTGGGCACAGCGTGGCAGCGCACGGAGTGAAGTCTCTGGAAAGGACAGGAAGCCTTCCGCGCGTCGCAGCGCCGCAGCTCGAAGCTGACGTCGCGGCGCTGCGTGGGCTGTTCTGAGAGACGGACGCGCCGCGTGTTCGACATCCGGAAGTACGAGGAGGCGTTCGCGCCGTATCAGTGGGAGTTGGCAGGCAACAGTCGGTGCAAAGGAGGGATTTGCGCAACAAGCGGCGAGCTCAAACGAAAGATGACGCGCCCCCGTTGCAGGAAGGGGAAGTTGACCAGTCGGTTCCTGGAAACGGACGTTCACAACGAAGGGCGGTCGCGCACGGAGCGCAGTAAAACGGCGCGGAGGGAGGGGAAGTCACGCTCGAAGAGACCCGAGCGCGGGTGCGTTCCAAATGCGGGTTTTCAAAAGTGGGGGTGCAGGGGCATGGTGGGGGGTATCGGTGGGGTTCAGGCCAGGAGTTGTCGGGTGGGGGGTCCCAAGACTTGAGTTTTCCTAGAGTGGGGGTGCCGGTTGGTGTCAGGTCTAGAATTGCCGGGTGGAGGGCGCCAAGAACCGAGCCTTCCTGGAGTAGGGGTACCGGGACATGGCGGAGGATATAGGTGGGTTTCAGGCTAGGAACTGTCGGCTGGGGGGGCCCAAGAATTTGAGCTTTCCTAGAGTGGGGGTGCCGGGGCATGGCGGGGGGTATCGGTGGGCTTCAGGCCAGGAAGGCATGGTGAAGGGTGTTTAGGCTGGGCATTGTCGGGTGGGGGGTCTCCAGAACTGAGCTGTCGTGGAGCGGGGCTTCCGGGGCATGATGGCGGGTATATATGGTCCAGGGTTTGGGCGCCCCCCCTACCCCCCCAATGCTGATGCCATTGGGCCCTCCCCCCCCGCGCGATGGTCCCCCCCGCCCCCCCCTGTGGGCGTGGCGTGGTGCTGCGCTGCGGTGCCCCCCTCCCCCCCCTGTGGATGTGGTGTGGTGGTGTGGTGGTTCAGAGGTGGGCGTGGCGTGGTGCTGCGCTGCGGTGCCCCCCTCCCCCACCCTGTGGATGTGGTGTGGAACTGTGGTGGTACAGAGGTCGTCGTCTTCCTCGTCCTCGTCCTCGTCGTCCTCGTCGTCCTCGTCGTCCTCGTCGTCGTCGTCATCGTCGTCGTCGCCGTCGTCGTCCTCGTCGTCATCGTCGTCGTCGCCGCCGCCGCCGGCGTCGTCGCCGCCGCAGCCGTCGTCGTCGTCGTGGTCGTCGTCGTCGTCGCCGTCGTGGTAGTCGTCGTTGCCGTCGTCGTCGTCGTCGTGGTGGTCGTCGTCGTCGTCGTCGTCGTCGTCGTCGTCGTCGTCGTCGTCGTCTCTGGGACCATCCCATCTGGGGGGGGGGGGGCCCGAGGAATCCTGGGACCATACCGTCGGGGGGGGGGGGGGCCTGGGCCCGGAACCCGGGACCATATATCGGTGGGTTTCGGGCGTCGGCCACATCCCCCCCCTCCTCCCTCCCGGGCCTGAATGGCGTCAGTCCCCCCCCCCCCCCGACAAAACGAAACTGGAGCGAGCTCAAGCCCACTCTCCCAGACACTCACACGCCGGGGGACGCGAAGCGGTTGGGCGTTGATGCACGGCGTGGCGGCCGTTTGCGTACACATGCTCGTGTGGCGTTTTTCTCCCGTGGGCGACAGTGCTTAGCGGTCAGTGCCTCCTGCTAGGGCTGGCGACGGTATGGCAGGGTCGCGGCATGGCGTCCACGACCGCGGGAATACTCAAGGCGTCTCAAGCTAAACGTTGCTGACTGGTTCCGCCTCCTCGGCCTTCAGAGGAAAAAAAAACATCCTCCTCATCCTCCTCCTTCTCGTCCTCCTCCCTCCCTCCTTCGCTCACCGAGCCGCTCCCGCGCGGTGTCGCCTCCCGAGGCTGCCCAACCTCGCTGGCCCACTTGGCGCAGCAGGCGTGGGCCCAGGATCCCGACATTGTCGCATTGGCCGCCCGCCGACGTCAGCATCGTCGTGGTTCCTGTTGCCGTCGTCGTCATCGTCGCTGTCGCTCGCCATCGCTGTCGAAGTCGAAGGCGAAGTCGACGTCGTCGTGGTTCCCGTCGCCGCCGCCATCGCCGCCGCCGCCGCCGCCGTCGTCGTCGTCGTCGTCGTCGTCGTCGTCGTCGCTGTCATCTTTGTTCTGCACGTCGTCGTCGTCTCTGTCATCTTTGTTCTGCAGGGGGACTCAGCAGGGCTCCAGGGCCCTTCCGTGCCCCCCGTTGGGTCCCTTGGACGGAGCGGGAGGGACGGCCCTCTTCCCTGCTCCTGGAGAGGGGGGACGGGGAGGAGAACGGGGAGGATCGTGAGAAGGCCAGGGCGGGGGGTAGGGTGGGGGAAGGAGGGAATCATATCGTTTCGAATCGAAATGGAGGCTCATCGTCAGCCTATACATGAGCACGTGTACGAAACGCTCCATGCGAAGCACACGTGCAGCAAAAAGCCTGCGAGCGATCACCCCTGACCCAGGCGAGACGCTCAGGGGGCAAAAGGTGGAGACCCAGGAGGGAGAGCTGGCAGGCAGGAGATCCCAGCTCACCTCGCCTGTCTGCCCTGGCTCCCCGCGGCGTTCTGGTAGCAGGAGAACAGGCCGGCTGAGGGGAGCGAGGCGCGCGCCGCATGTCTGAAGCGAGTCTGCTCTCGGCGCCGTTGAATGGCCTGGAGCAGCTCGGGCGTGAGCTACACGGAGGAGGAGGAGGAGGAGGAGGAGGAGGAGGAGGATTAGGATTAGGAGGAGGATTAGGAGGAGGATTAGGATTAGGAGGAGGAGGAGGAGGAGGAGGAGGAGGAGGAGGAGGAGGAGGAGGAGGAGGAGGGGCGAGGTCTCAGGATCCCCTGACCCCTCCAGAGACCTAAGGATGCCGTCCTCCGAGTCAGGATCGAAGTCCTGGGCCTTCTCGGGCCCTGCGCCCTGCCGATCAATGCCGAGCGTGTACCGTGAGTTCAATGCCAAGTTCAATGCCGATGCAGATTGCATTCGTAATGCGGAACTTGAGTTGGTGGACACTCGAGTACACCCAGACGCCCGCAGGCAGTATAGCAGTATGAATTGGATGCCTTTCTTGGAACCCTCGTAGCTGACCGGTGTACGAGGTGATCGTCGCCCTCCCAACTTCTCCACCGTCCGGGTTGGGTTCCTTGTCCTCCTCGTTCCTTCCCTCTCGGCCGGTCCCGCTGGCTTCGTTGTTCACTCTTGCCTTGCCTCCGGGACAGGGGCCATTCCCTCTTCAGCCTGGCTTTGGCCAGCAGGCTGCACTTAACTGACCAATTCGTTTTTTTTTCCGATCTACGTAGTCTGCATCCCACACCAGACCCAATGTTGACAAATACCAGTGCACAGTTCGACAGCTTGCAATTTCAACTACAATTGCAATTTGAATGTAATGTCCCGCGCTGGCACACGGCTAGCAGCTGCATCCAGCATCCAGATGTTCCAGGCAGAGTCGACACGGCAGTTCTCGTTTTGATCAGGCGACAACACACCATTGACCACGCGTAGCCGCGAGGCGTATTGATTGGCGTTGGAGGACGAATGGGCTTTCTCGGGCCCTGGGTGAGAGTCCAGATTGTCCGGCCCTGGGGGAGAGTCCATGCTGGGCTTCTCGCACGGGGCCTGCTCCTGGGCAAGCATGTGCGGCCGATCCACATGGGTTTTTTGGGGGCTTTTTTGCAGCTCGAAGCCCTCAATATCCTGAGCAAGATCATTCTCCGCGGCACTGCATTCAGCATCGGGGCCAATGGCCTGAAACAGTGCAGTCAGATCATCAGGAAGTTCACGGTGGTCACATTATTCAGGGTCAGTCGCCTGCCACGCTGCCTCGACAAAGTGTGTCACAGCCCTGGCCGTAGCAGCACATAACTCCTGAGGATACCCTTTCTTCGGGGTGGTCCTTGACTTTCTGGTGGTGGGGTCACTCCCGAGGAGGTTGGTCTGAGCCTTCTTGGGGTGGCCGCACCTTGCTCATTTCCACGGCTCTTGACATCACCCTTGGTCGGAGAGCGGCTGCATTGTCCGAAAACAGCCAGGTCAAATTAAACCGAGCATCACGGAGGCGCAGCACTGAGAGCACATGATTTGGCAGACTGCCGATCACCTGGGGCGCTCTCCTCCCATTGGGCCTGCTCTGAGTGCTCCTTGAGCGCGCATGCGCCCACATCTAGGCAGGTCAACATCAGTTTATGCTGGCTGAGTAAGAGTTGAGCCCCACTGCGAGCTGTCGGTGCTGCCGAACGCTCACATCATGGCGTCCCCATCTATGTTCGAGATTGCGGAGGGGAGGTGGGTGGTGAGACTTGTCAGCAATTCTGAGCTCCTGCTATCGGGCCGCAGACCATGTGTCACACGGTGGACCTCGGATCAATCCAAACGCACGCCCTGATCTGAGGAGCGCATCCCACTTTTCAGCGGTATAGGATTTGGTAAGGTCAACATCCACTCAGCGTCGCACGAAATGAGAATCACGGCCACCGGCCCTGCAACGAGGGACCCTCTTGAGCTCATGTTGAACATCCCCTGACCGTCGCGCTCCTGAGAACAGGTGTAAGAAGGCAATCACTGCAAACCAGAGCGGCTGAGGACAACACTCAGCAACCGCTCCCACAATCAAACGGTTCGAACATGTGTTCATTAGCAGGGAGGGGCTCAGTGTTCACACGCTCAGTACATTTTGAAAAGTCGCCGGGCGCGACGGCGCTTGAGCCATTGTCTGACTCACCGAATGTACTTTCTCCTCCCCGAGCTCTTTCGCTTGCTCTTCATTCGGGTCCGTAGCCATCTTGGCTCTAGCTATGAGCTCGGGCGCGCGCGTGCGGGCGCTTGGGCGGGATGGCGCGGGAGTGTCTGCGTGGCGGCGCTGGTGCGCGTGCTTCGGCAGACCGCCTTGTCCAGAAGCTGGTCAAGGAGTTCGAGGAGACCAAGGCCAAGTTGGCGCAGGCCCAGGAGCAGCTGTGGGCCGGGGGCGCGGACCATGGCGTGCGAGCCGAGGTCGCACGTCGCCAGCGCCTGGCGCGGCCGGCGCTGGAGGCGCGTGTCGCAGGGGGCGTGGAGTCGGGCGCGCAGCGGTTGATCCGCAATGTGGCGCTCCACGCTCGGCGGTGCCCTGCTGATGGCGCACCGCTGGCGGCGGTGCCCTGCTGATGGCGCACCGCTGGCCGAGTGGCGCTGCGCCCAGCATGGCCCAAGGCTCGGCGCAGATGGCATGGTTGATGGCCTGGGTGCTGTCGGTGCCGCCATCGCGCGGGGCGAGTGCCTGGAGGGTGCCGTGGTCGCGCGCGTCGCGGATTTCGAGGCCAAGCTGCTGGCGAAGTACAACGTTTGCGGCGGGGGCCCCGATGGCGACGAGCGCCAGGAGAGCGGCGTCGAGTGCGAGGGCGTGTATGGCCCAGGCTTCGGCGTGGAGGAGAAGCTGTGCGGCAGGCTTCACGTGAGGGGCCTCCACGTGAAGCAAGACGAGGACGAGGAACGCGAGGGGGAAAGCGGCTCGGTTCGGCTGGCGCCAGGTGTCTGGCAGGCGGTGGACCCCGAGGCGGAGGCCAAGGCCTTCGTGGAGGGCATCGCGGTCGGGTGGCGCCTTGCTGGGCTGGAGAAGGGCTCGCCGTGGGACTCCGCGCGAGGCTGGTGGCTGGCCGAGAGCGGTCGGCCATCAGCAGCACGCGGCGGCTGTGGCGAAACGCGGGGCCGCAGGGTGGAGGCGGCGAGCGGAATCCAGCCAAGGCGCGGGCATGATGCAGAGGGTGCGCGCGAGTGCCGTTCGGCTGGCTCTCAAAAGGGAGCTGGAAGGTAAGTTTGCCCCAAACCAGCATATCAAGGAGGGAAAGGGCTACGGCTGACCCAGGGCTGAGCGCAGCGCCTAGTCCTTCACATATTTGTTTTGTGTTATCGCCTCTTCTTCTTGTGCAATGCCTCAGAGTTGCAATTGCCAGAACTATCAGCCGGCCGTGACATCGTCGCGGGTTTGATGCATTGTGCCGTTTGTTGGGTAGCAAGTGGGCCCGTGGCTCCGCCGCCTAGGCAAAGCGTGGTCAGCCCCTGGTTCTGGACTCCATCGCATGCGTTCTCGAAGAGTCGATTTTTTTGGAAGCCTGCAGCTACAGAGGCTGCAGGTATCGGGATCGCGGACGTCAGAGCCACGCTCCTTCTGCCCACGAGCGAAATGCTCTTCGTTCGCCCCGCCTCCCTCAGTTTTCACCCTCCTTCCCCGATGCACCAAATACCACCCCGTTCATCATGCCCTCCCCCGTCCTCCTTCTTCCCTCCCGACGAACGGCGACCACGACCACGACGACGGCGACGTCAACAACGCTAACGGGCGGCAGCGACGGCGACAACGACGGCAAGGTGACTGCGACGTCGACTGCGACGCGAACTTCAAAAACGACGGCAAGACGACGGCGACAACGACTACGACGCCTCTGACAACGGCGACGTCGACAGCGGCGACGGCGGAAACGACCACCCGCAGGACCCGCAGGAGCGGCCAACGTTCGCGGATATCCTGCGGCAGTTGCGTGGCATCCATCGGGGGAGGCTTTGCGCCGACACCGTTTCGCCTGGCCCATCCCTCTCTGATTCTTCTTATCGTTCCATTGTCTTTCTTCCTTGTCTTGCTCTTTTTGCGACACATCCTCACGCTCCCCTCTGATCCTGCTCCTGCCCATCTGCAGATTATGATGCTACTGTTGCCGTTGATCATCGTCACCGTACTCCGTACTTATAATCCTCCTGCTCATGCTCGTGATCTTGATCCTGGTATCGCTTCCGACTCTGCGAAGGAAGCCCAACGATGTCTCGGGCAACGCAATTCTGATTCCCACTCAGGGCTGGTCCACCTCCCTGCAAGCGATCGCCGCGGTCTCCGCGAGCGCCCGGACCAACGCCCCGTGCAGCCCCGCGCGCCACCTCCGGAGCGAGCGTGCCGGTTGCCCCGCTGCCCGCGCGGCCCGCTGGAATGCCGCAGTGCCGAATCCTTGAGGACTGCGTTGGCGTGCCTGCATGGGCGGCCGAACACTTCGAGGCCGAATGGGGAGCATTGAACGCCTCCCCGGCCGCCGCGGTCCTCCTCGTGAACTTGCCGTCTTCCGCGGCCTCAACCGCGACGTCCTCGCGGTCTGCCGCCTGGCGCCTCCTCTGAAGCTTGGAAGGGTTCGTCACGGTGATGTCCACCCAAGTTTCTAGGAGCTCTGGGCCGTGCCCCCAAAGGTGGACGTCAAGCCGGGCCTCCACAGCGTCGTCTGCCCGAGGCTCGCCCCGCATGAGCGGCGGGCAGACCTCCTCGGTTTCGGCCTCAACGCCGCTCTGGGTTGCGAATCGGCGCACGCATGCACACACTGCATCGTGCGCTTGGTAGCGGCCCCTTTCGACTCCGAACAGCTGCGCGTGGTCGCCAAGTCGGTTGCAGAGCTTGCCACACCGCGGCGCCTCCTCGTTCTTCTTCCCGCTAGGCTTGTGGCTTGTGCTGGCAGGTTGTCTCGCGCATCGCAGCCCGAAGTGGAACTCGTCGTCGTTCAGCCGGAGGGGGTGGTCGCTCGGGCAAAGGGCGACCCAGTCGGGCGCCACTGCGCCAGCCGTCGACCGCAGGCGGACGCCTTGGCGTAATTGCGCCGTCGCCTGCCCCTTCAGGTGCTCGCTTTCGGCGGGGTCTCCCCAGGCAGCTCTCTTGGCCTCTTCGTTGCAGGACTCCCCCGCCTGTGCGTGCCTGTCGAGCATGCCCGCCGTCTGCGCCTTCTGCACCGCCCTGGACACCCCGGATGGGCTCGAAGTGCGCTTTGAGGTCTCATCGCGACTCGGACTCCCGGGCGATCGTGCCAGAGGCGCTGACTTCGATGCCGTGCGTCGCCTTCGGCAACTCCTGCATGCGTTCGGCCCCAGCGAGTGGGAGGCGTTTAAGGTATCCTCCTCGGTGGCCTCAGGCAGCAACGCCCGCAGGTGCTGCCGCGCAAGCGCGGCCAGCTGGCCCACCCAGCTGCTGATGCTCGTCCTCCACATTGTTCTGCTCCTCCTCCTGCTCCTTAGTCTCGCCCTCTCCCTCACCAGTCCCAACCATCATTGCAGTCAATTTCGAGTCTCCCTCTCTTCCGCTTCCTTGTTTAGTTCCTCTTCTCGACCTCCTCCGCCTCCGCCTCCTCTTTTCCTCCTCCTGCTCTCGACACCGCCCGCCGAGGGAAAATGGGGAGGATAAGGACAGGCCTCTGGCGCGCTCGGCACTTAGGCTGGCCCCTGACGGCGAAGGAAATGGCTGTTTCTTCTACCCTGGAGGACACGGAGCGTTCAACCCGCGGGGCAGTATCCTGGATCTTCAAGACGAGTCGACGAGAGACGGGCGACAACTTCAGAGGCGCAGACAGAGTATTGGTGACGTGGAGGAGGAGGAGGAGTAGGAGGCGAAGGAAAACATGGGGGAATAACATGAGGATGATCAGGAGGAGGAGGAGGAGGAAGAGGATGCGGAGGAGGAGGAGGGAAGCCATTTGGCCTCTTGCGGGCCAGCCGATCCCGATCGATCCATCGGGGTCGGTCGGCGCCTGCCGCCCGATCGATCGCGGTGGCAGGGCGCATCGCGCATCGGCCAGCCCCCGAGGCCGGGCTCACGCGCGCCGCGCGCCATATTCTGCGGCAGGGGGCCACCCGTGCCTCCCTGTCCCCTGCCGCAGGCCGCGGCGCTCGCGGCCGCGCTGCGGCCCAGCGGCGGGACGCCGCGACATCGCCGAGGAGGAGGTCCAGAGGGAGCTGCCCACCGCCGCGAGCGGCAGCAGAGAGCCCAGGACAGGCTCCTGCTCCGCCTGCGGGCAGCGGCCGAGCGCCTGGCCGCCCACCACTCTGCCCAGCCAGCGATGGCCCGTGACGGTAAGGGCAGAGGCAGTGGTGGCCGCAGCGGCAAGGGCCAGGCCCACGAGGAAGCAGCACCGCCAGCAGCGCCCCCATGGCGCCAGGAGAGGTGGCATGGCGCTGGCTGGCGAGAGCAGCACTGGCACGCCGAACCAGCAGGTGAGGACCCGCCCTGGCGCAGGGCGCCGTCGCGGCCACGACGCTCTGGCCAGGCCAGCCCTCGCCAATGGCAGCAGCAGCAGCAGCAGCCCAGTCAGCCTCCCTGGCAGCAGCAGCAGCAGCAGCCCAGGGCGGGCAAGGGTGGCCAGGCCAGCTCCAGCAAAGCGGACCAGCGAGCTCAAAAGGTCATCGACTCAGTGGCGGCCTGCACGCTGGACGAGGCCACCACCCACCCAAAGTGGCAGGCGCCCCCGGCCGACCGTGCAGGCATCCAGAAGTTTCTGAGCACCGCCGACCAGAGGCTGAGGAAGCTTGGCGACCTGGTCATTGCCAAGCAGGCCGCGGGGGACAGCACGAAGGAGCAATTAATGGAGATCGCGGTCATCAAGTATCAGAAGCTGGTCACGAGGAGGCCGAATGACCAGCTGCAGGTGCTCAGCAAGAGGCGCAAGGCCGTCAAACTCGAAGTCATCGCCCTCGAGGCCAAGACGAACGAGCTGCGGGACGACCTCAAGGCCAAGCAGCAGGAGTTGAGGCAGCTCGAGTCCAACATCGCAGACGTGCGGGCCGTGCTCGCCGACGGCGGCGCGGCGGACGACGAGGGCGACTGGGGCACGGACGGGTTCGGCTTGGCACCGAGCTGGGATGCCTTCCACAAGGCCGTGATCGACAGGCGCCTGAACAGCGAAGCACCTGGTGACGGATTCCCAGCTTGGCCAGCGGGAGTGGTGGGGCGATCGCCACGCTCAAGAGCCAGCTCGGCAGGCAGCGCAACCAGAGGCTTCGCAGATCAGGTGGCCAAGGCGAATGCGGAGCGGGCCCACCAGCAGCAGCGCCATGCCGAAGCCGAGCAAGAGTTTGCTGCCGAGCTGGCGGAAGTCAGGAGGGTCGCCCGAGAACAAGCACTACGGCGAGGCGAGCAGGCGAATTTCAGGCTGGCACTCAAGGAGGAGTCAGAGCAGCTGCAGCGCATCACCGCAGCGGAGAGCGCAGCCCAGCAGCAGCAGCAGCAACACAAGGCCCTCCGCCATGAAATCAAGAAGCAACAAGCCGAGCAGCTCGAGTTCGCGACGCAGATGGAGGCCAGGATAATCAGCCATGACACAGCCTTCAGTCGAGCCAAGGCAGAGGCCGAAGCCGCGACCCACCGGGCAAATCACCTGCATGAGCAGCTTGAGCAAGTTCGAGCGGAGCACCGGGAGAAGCCGCAACCCCAGGACAGGGTCTACCAAGACCTGCTGCGGGCAAGAGCCGAGGCGCAAGAGGCACTGCGACGGGCCCAGCACGAGAGCGCCCAAGCGACAGCTACAGCGGGCACTCTCAAGCAGCAGCTCGCCAGGCAGGAGCTGGTCATGGAAGAGAAGTTCCAGGAGGCCAAAAAGAACCGCGCCCTCGAGATTGAAGCTGCCGCCGAATCAGCCAGGGCCCAGGCAATCGCCCAGGCCCAAGTGGTTGCCAATGCCAAGGGAAAAGGGCCCCCCCCGCCGGCAGAGGCGGCCAGGCTGCAAGGGATTGCCCAGACAGCAGCACGGCAGCAGGAGCGGCTCAAGCAGACCAAAAGCGAGCTCGAGGCAGCTGAAGCCCGCATACACGAGCTCCAGCAGCACTCCAAGCTTGAGGCGGGCGCTGCGCAGCGTGCAGTACAAGTGGCATACCATGAAGCAGCGGAGCTGAGAAGCGCCAACAAGGAGCGGCAAATCCCGCACGAGGTGCAGGCATTGCAGTTCGCCCTGCTAAGGACTAGAGCAGAGGAGGAGGAGATCGCGAAGGCCAGCCTGAAGGACAAGGAGGCAATGCGGGCAGAGCTCGAAGGCAGTGCTGAGCGAATAAGGTCGAGTCTCACCCGCCAAGTCATGATAGAAGAGGCGAACGCACATGACTTGCAGCTGCACACAGAGAGCCTGCGACAGGAACTGGGCAGCTACGCGGTGCAGCTGAGCGAGCAAAGGTCAAACGCAGAGGTGCAGGAGCAGGCGCTGGAGGAGGAGCTCGCCCAGGCCCTCACCTTCAGGATCGCCAGTATGGAGGAGGCCTCCGCCATGGAAGACTTCGCCAGCCAGCAGAGGACGGGCAGGGAGGAGGCCATCCACCTCGCGCTGCAAGAAAGCCTCCAGCGCTCCAGCACGCTGCACACCGAGCTAGACGCCATCGCAAAGAAGGAGCAGCAGGGCGCGTCGGAGACAGAGGAGCTAAAGCTGAGGATGCAGAGCCTGGAAGCCATTGCAGCCAGCAGGGAACGTGAACGCAAGGCCATGGTCAACCTGTACGCCGAGATGAGGCAATACGGGCA